AATTTCGTAATAATAAAAATCAAACAAAATCAAAGTTTTTAAAAGGGTTTAATAGGTTCGGAGGTCCCTATATTTGCGGGTTCGTTTCACTTGGGTCCTCCAATTTTAAAAGTGATCAATTAGGTCCCTAATTTAATAAAATTGAGTCAATAATACCCTTTCCGTTAAATGCAAGGGAATCTGAATGCAAATTAAAAATTGCAGAAATTGCCACGTATTAAGCTCAAACTCTGCCACCTGCAAATAAAATGATGCCTCAGCATGTCACCTGTTTAATTTGCATTCAGATTCCCTTGCATTTAACGGAAAGGGTATTATTGACTCAATTTTGTTAAATTAGGGACATAATTGATCACTTCTAAAATTGGAGGACCCAAGTGAAACGAACCCGCAAATATAGGGACCTCCGAACCTATTAAACCTTTTTAAAAGAGACCAACTTCCCAACTCCAATTTTTCGTTATAATCGAGGAAAAAAATATATTTGACCTTAAAAGTAACTAATTAAACTTATATTAATAAAATAATACTAATAAGTTGTATATAAAATATGGTTAAGAATCTAATATCATTATTGATAATGTTATATATATTATAAAGATCAACAGGCAATTATAACAATATGTTTTATAAAAACTAGTGAAGTTTGAATAATATGGTAGCACCGACGACACAAGGAAATCTAATTGGTTCAACTCCGCGTAGGAATTATTGCAAATTTTTTAGTATCTGAATTCAACATTTTGCTGATAAGTAAAAATAAATAAATTATAGGCGTCGTTCTGTATATGCTGATAATTATTTATATCCTAAATTCGTTTCATGTTATTTAATCACGTTATATTTTGTGTTGAACCACGTTGTCATTCGTGATGATGTAAACATTAATTATAAAACATAAAGATTATATATTATTAAATGTCAAAACGACATTTACAATCTTACGGTAAATTTTGTCCATTTAAATAAACAATATAGATATAATTCGATTTTTATTTACGTCAATAAATAATTTTCTCACTTGCTTATCTGCAGTTAGAAAAAAAAAAGTAAAAAGAAAAGAAAACAAAAATCAATCTATCAGCTACCAAATTATGCAGCAGTTAAAGTCATCATCACCTAGGATTTTAGTTACAGAATTCTTAAGTTTCATATCGTCCCGTATTTTTTCCTAATGACTTAATTAAGATTGTTTATTAATTAAGAAACATTATAATATACTTCTATAACATTAAATTACGAAAATTACAAACATTCAAAAATATTCTAAAAATAATAATATTTAGTAAAGCAAGAGGTTTTGTAAAGAATACTCTTTAAAGTATGTACATTCGTCTTTTGAATTACATTATATTTCTATATTTATATATTTTTAATTAAGAAGTTGAAATGTTGTATAATGCATATAATAATTAAAGATCATAAATAATATATATATATATATATATATATATATATATATTACTAAAATAACTTTTATAATTTCACGTTTTTAAATTTACTAAATATATATAAATAGTTAAAAATTATCGTAAATAGTTAACTCATATTTTTTAAATGTAATTGTCAAAATTATTTTGGGTTGGATGGTAGAACATCTTCAATGGGCATGTTTGCAATTAAGCATCTTTTCTGCTTTTACATCTGCTGGTCAATCTCAATAATAATAAGTTTTTTATGAAAATAAAATCATAATTAAAAATATACCTTATAAAAGAATCGAGATTCATATCTTTTTTCCAATTAATCATCTTCATAATTCGAAAATCATAGAAATTTACCATTTATAACTAAAATCCGCAGCGGATAGTAACTATCTGCGGATATTTACTACCCGTGAGTAACGGGTAGCGGGTATTTTAATACCCTCTTCTAAACGGGTCAGGTACGGGTAGTATACTACTCGTCTTGTGGGTAGTATACTACCCGCTCTGCGGGTACCCGTTACCCGTAAAAAATTAAAAAATAAATAATTTATATATTTTTTAATTAAATTTAATTAAAAATAAAATAAAATTATATTTTATTAGTTTAAATTTAATTAAAATTAAATTTTAATTTACATTTAATTTAATTTATATTATATATATATATATATATATATATATATATTTGTATTTTTATTTAAATTTTATTTTTAAAATATATTAAATATTATTTTTTATTTTTTGTGGGTATCCGCGGGTACCCGCGAATATTTTTTAAACGGGTACCCGGCAAATATCGGGTCGGATAACAGATACGATTTTATCCGACGAGCTGTTGTCATCCCTATTTATAACACTATTTCAATCGTCCTCATAATAAATACGTATAATCACTAAGTTAAATTCAATTGCTTTGAAATTCAATGAAGATGACATGAATTTAATTATCAATCGATGTCTCATCTGAAAATGTTCATTGTAGTTAATGGTTTTATGAGGATCCTTGACTAACTGTAGCAATAGATGTTCAACTATCTGTCACATTCCACTATTCAACCATTCTTCTTTTTCTTTCTTCCAGGATTAATTTTCAATCCACAGCCATCAGACAATTTCTTCGACTTTATGAAAAAAAGACCATTTCTACAAGTTAGTAATGGTGCCCAATTTAAATCAAGTAGTTTTTCAGAATTTTTAAAATATAATTTTTAAAATAGCATTTGATTTTTTCAATTTTAATAAACTAAAAAGGTTTTTCTCAAATTTGAAGGACCTTTCAAAGTCAAAATTGAAAACTAGCTTTCTTTCAAAACATATAAATCGTCAAAATTGATATTTTGTCGTAAAAATAAAGTCTTCTCCTTACTCATTCTAGAATCAAAATTTGACTACATATTAAAAAGTTAGTTATTTTGTGATAATCTAATGTTGATTTTCCACTATCTTGTGATGTTTATCTAAAACTTGGTAAAATTATTAAATTAATTGTTTTAGGCTGAGACGGTTAGAATTTTTCATACCATGAATAGAGATGGCTTTATCTTAGCCAACATTTTGATGATGTAAATGCTGGAATCCAGATCGATTTGATTACGTATTAAATGCATCATTCATAAGCTGAATAGTGCATTAACTTTTGTGCTTTAATATTACATTAATTTTGTGAATGCATTGAAGATCATTCTGTGAACTATTATTGGAGAATAATACGCTTGTGACCCTTAAGTGCATCCCTCTTTTATTGGATATTATTCCCAAAATTTTTCATTTTTATTCAACTAATTTATGTTATACATCACTTTAATAATTAAATTAAAAAAAATATTAAAGTTTATTTTAAATAATTTGTTCATTCTCTAAAATATAGTGTGTATACAGAAGAGGTGCATGTGTTACATGGTTTTTTCGGTATTTTTTGGAAGTTTCTTTCTGCACCTCTATATTTTTTTCTGCACCTTCGTCTAAAAAAAGTTATTTTTTAGATTGTAGAATATATAATTCGGAAATTAGTTTTCTCCTTTAAAAAAACCATAGGCTACATGCTTTTGGAATCAAAAATTATTTTTGGATTATGCAGGTCAAATAATTTTCAAATTATATAATTCAGAAACTAAATGATTTTCAGATCGTGCTATTTAAAAGATAATTATTTTTTATGTTTAAATTTTATAATTCATAAGTTACTATCGTATAATCTTAAAATCATTTTTATCTTTCAAATTATATAATCTAAAAAGACAAAGTGAAAAATATTTTATATGAAAGTGCAAGAAGAAAACATGTAGAAGTGGAGGAAGAAACTAGCGTATTATTGGAATCAATAATTTAATTTATACGTTATATGGCCAGGCTAAGTAAACAGAATGTAAAGCAGCTGATAAGAAATGTGAAATCAATTTACACCAAAAGAATAACAAATTTCGCTTGTAATATGATTAACGTGGCAATTTTTAATATATTTACAATATAATGATTCTAACAAATAATTAAATTTTAACATTTATTAAAAAAAAAATAATGTAAGAAAAGTAGTGTCTTAGTTTAGTTTGGATTCATCTTGATCTTGTTTTGGTTGTCTTTCTTTTGGAGTGAAACTATAAGGTTGTTAAGAATATTTAGTTAATATCATTATTTAAATGAATTTTAAAAAAAATAAAATTAGTTTTTGTATAAAGATAAAATATATTTAATTATTATTTAAATTTAAAATATTAAGATTGATGTATTATAAATATTTGATATTTTATTTTATTATATTATATTTTATATATATATATATATATTATATATATATATATATTATATATATATTATATATATATATATATATATATATATATATAATAATAAAATAAATAACAAGCTATTTCATCCACTTTTTTTTATAGAAAGGCAAGATGTCATAAAAGGAAAAATGTTACTCGCTTTCTTTCTACTTATTAAACAAAGGATGGGAATAAAATTATATCTTTCAAGACTTTTTTGTATTTGGTTTGTGATTTTAAAATTAAAAATAAAAGCACTTTTAATTTTTTGATTAAAAATTTCCTCACACATGAATATTGTATTATTATGTATAATAAATACACTTATTATAATATTATCAAAAGCTTTATATAAAGTACATAGGACCTTATCATTGTTGAAAAATATAATATTCTGTCACGATATAACACTCATATTTTCTTTATTTTTTTGTAGGTTACCTTTTTCAACAATTTTATGCTGTCTACTTTTATTTAGTATTGACACCAGAGTTCTATTTCCCTTCTTTCATTATTATTACTCATATAATACCATTATGATTTTGGGTATTTTTCAGATGTCTATACCTTACGAAATACATCAACAATGAAAAGACAAATTCCGAGACTTTAGTTTCTGAAAAGTAATTATAATAATGCTCTAAACTTCAGTGCTAATCCAAAAATATTTTCAGAATTTAATTTTTAAAATGTAAAATTATATTTCAAAACAAAGATTTGAAAATTCGTGTTAATATCCACAATAAAGTTCCAAGAATAATTTCTCAAAAAAAATATATATTTGACAAATTTGCATGCAACAGTGGAATAATCAAATTTTCTTTTCATTGCTTCAGCTCCTCTAAATTCCTAAGCAGTATTTAGTTTTACATATAGAACATGAGGTGCCACATTTGACACGAAATTAAGGAACTTGAACATAAGAGGAGCAATTTTATTCCTTAGTGTTAAACTATATGATCTTGAAATCTTTGAACTATATGGTTTATATGACGAAGCCGCAGTAATGATGAATATATATAGGTGAGAAAATTATATCTTGTTTAAAATTTTCAGTATGGAAAACTTCCTGTCATATGGATATGATCAAGGGTGCTTTTGAGCCCATACTTGAGCATTGCTTTGTTACCCGATCTGAATCCATCTCCATAAGCTGAGGAGGTATCTGATTCAATCTGGTGTTTAAAAAACTCACCAAGTTTCTTCTCAAAGTCTGAACGTTTACCCTTCTTTGATGATGCAGAAGAGGAGGAAGGTGATGATGAAGATGAAGACGAGGATGATGATGCACCGCCATTCCCAGATCCCGAATACAGCTCTGAATCTAACCACATATGAGCCAACACTTGGCAGATTCCCTCTTCAACTTCTGGACTGAGGTTAGGATAGCCTGTCAAAAAACCAGAAACTTTGTCCAACTTGGCATCATGAGAAAAGAAAATATAAACTTTCTGCTCCATGTTAAAGGCTCAATACCTTTAAGCCTAAGCCATGCATGCATCATCTCGTGAGCTAGGATTGATCCTGTTAACAACCTATAAAAATAAAATTCATGAATTATATCTGGGGAATGTCATATACAAATGCTGTGTAGATTCTGAAGGCAGATTGCATACGAAGGATACCTAGGAAGGCCATACAAAACTAGAATGGCTGTCACTTCACAGCGACGGATCAGCTTAAAGGGTTCAGTTATCATGTCTGTGACTCGGTAGCCGGCTCCGATCCTCGGCCTCCTTGAAATCTAGTATTATATGAAATATATTGAAGTAATGAAATCAGTATTTGATAAACAGATATTCTTCAATGGAAGAATTAGATGTGTGAAGACTCAATTTGCAAGCGAGAAATCCTACAGTGGTTACAGTTTGCTCTTCTGACAAGCAGAGTCCTCTGGTTTCAGGTAAGTGGTGATGACCCTACATTCAATAGAGAGAAACACATGAAGAACGGATAGTAATAACATTCCATGAATGAATTGAAAGTTAAACACATGAAGACTTGCATTCTTTTCTCCCTCCATGGCCTCATTCAGAGCTTGTCTCTCAACCAAGAGCATTGGAATTTGCTGCTCCAATTTCATATTTAGACCTTCATAAAATTCTTGTATTTCAAGGTAGAGAGGTTGGCATTCATGAGTATCCATAATTGATGAGTCTAGACACTCTAAACATAGCTTTCGACCATCATCAAGCAAAAGATATTTTGCATCCCTTGGCTGCACTGATTGAAAAGACAAAAAAGACAGAACGGTGGCGAGGGAGGAAAGGAACGGATCCATCAGTTATCTCCTAATTGTTAATTGTAGGATGAAATGTTTTCGGAGCTAATATTACTGACCTCCATTCTTTCACAGCTACAGCAACGAGGTGTGCCATCAAGCTCATGAGATGGGCAGTATTTTTGCAGCCAGAAAGGATGAGCTCTATACTCAATGAGGCCAGATGAATTAGTTGGGATCTGAAAAGAAAGAATCAATCATTTTAGTTCACTCAGCAATATACATATTACTTAGAAAAAATAACTTAAAAGCCAAGACTTAGGGTCTGTTTGATTCTCTTCTCACTCCTATTGTTTTAAAAACTGATCTCTAAACAATTCCATACTACCCAACAATCAAATTGCTCATCCAAAACCTATGGAGTTCCGAACATTGATTCCAAAACATGTGTTTAAAGAAACAGAAAGGGAGATATTCTTCATCCTCTTCTGTTTTCTTCAACTGCTCAAGAGACAGACTATCAGAAAACAGAGATGCGCACACGGGACAAACAAATTTTTAAAAAACAGAAAACTGTTATAAAAAAGTATTAAACAAAACAAGGACTTTGCCTTTTTCTTTTTAAAAGGAAAAGTAGCACCAAAATTTTACCCCTGGGGATTGCAGACTTTCACTTACACCTTTTCTATCATCACACAAGGAAAAATGTTTGATGTAGATTACAAAATTAAGGTTTGGTTTTAAATTTCCCTGATGATCTCAATCAATTATACAGGATGATGGGATCGATCTTGTAGCTCAAGTATGACGGTAAATTACTATGATTAGCAGTAACATTTGTTAGCTTAAGTAGCTGATCCAAGAATTCCTTTAAAGTTCAAAGCTCCCGTTAGATTAACTTTCCCACTAGAAATCATGAATGAAGAAATTAATACAGTAAAATAACATTTGAAACATTGAATAGATATTTCTAAAGTTCATCATAATTGATAGAAAATTTGAAATAGAACAAGCACACACAATTGACAAATAGACAACTGTTAGTGCAAAACAACTGTCAAGATACTTACAAAGCTCTTGCAAACATCACATCTGGGGTGATGCTTCTCCCTATAGCATGATTTATGGTAAGGGCGATTGCTAGACATGGAAAACTGTAAAGGAACAAATTAAGCATAATCAAATGGAGATTGACCAAAAATGAAATTTAAAGACCTTCGTTGATGAAGCTAAGAGTAGTTTTCAACTTTTTTCTTGAAAACAAAAGGAGGTTTCAACTAATTGTTTTGCTAAGCAAGCTGCAAACGCAAAAGGACACTCTAGCCTCTAACCTCATAATCAGTGATTGGCAGACGACATGCGTGGCAGCAGAAGCATTCTGGATGCCAAACACCTCCCATGCAACTTAAAAATCTTCCATGGCCAATCTCAGTCTTGCACCCAGCACAGGTTCTGAAAGCAGATTTACAAAAAAACCTATTAAATTTCTATTTTTAACCGTTAAGAAAAATTCATGAAACCTTGAAAATATAATCTTTACTATGTAGATCCATAATATTGAAATAGAGGAGAGAATTTCAGTTTTATTGGGTGTCGAATAAACTCCAAGATATTCCACTGGAAGTGCTAATGAATCACCATAAACAAGATTAAGCTAATAACATTATAGAATATGTTCATTTTAATCACTACCATTTTCTAAAATTTTCATCTAATTAGAAGGTACTTAATAACACTCAGGAAAACTAACAGACACCAAGGTATCATTTATAAAATACCAATCCAGTGCTTATCCCAGTTCAATGATTCAGATGAGAATATTTTAAAATAAGATTGATAACTCTGAATGAAGTCCAGATCAGTTAATTGTATAACCAAACACTCAAACCAGCAAAACTTAAAATTGAAGTTTCAAAACATATTCTGCTTGGAATGTTAGAAAAATCAGCAATTTCCATAAACGTACAAGGAAGGATTCGTTATACAGATAAAAGATGAAATTATACACTCAATTACCTGTATCCAGGGGGAAAGAGGTGAGGATAAGATAGAAATGAAGAATCATTGTCTGATCGAGGAGGAGAATCAATGGTCAAACTTTCTTGAATTGCCCGAGCAAGTTGCTCGTCTTCCTCAAGTTGAGCTTTAGCAAGATGTTCAACTTCATCTTGTTGAATTTTAGCCAGACGTTCATCCTCATCTTGTTGAAGTTTAGCAAGACGCTCATGTTCTTGTTGAATTTTAGCCAAACGTTCATCTTCATCTTGTTGAAGTTTAGCAAGACGCTCATGTTCTTGTTGAATTTTAGCAAGACGTTCATCCTCTTCTTGCTGAATTTTAGCAAGATATTCATCTTCTTGCTGAATTTTAGCAAGATATTCATCTTCTTGCTGAATTTTAGCAAGATATTCATCTTCCTCATCGTCAATTTTACAGAGTTTATCATCTTCAGACTGAGAGTCATCCTCTAGGATATTATGGAACAAAAGCCATTAGACATTTTGGTTATGCTTTGGTGTGTAAATAATAATTGATTAACGCATTCATTATCTGAACACATAAACCATACGGAACAACAGAATTTCTTCAGTTCACTCTTTTTTACACATATTTTTATAACCTATTCAATGGACCCTTAACTATAAGAAATATAATTAAAGAACTTTTCAGTAGCAACTTAAGAGAAACACCAGAATCAAAATATCGACACAATATTATATACATATTATATTTATATTTTAAAAAAAAAAGAACCTAATTCTAATAACTTATTAATATGATTCTTATAATTCTCCTTTGATTAGGATGTAAATGAAAGAATCAACAGATAGCATCATAGCCTTTGATCAACAGAGTAGAATTTACTTAAACAATATTCAAGACTCTGAAATAGGCATAAACATGCAGCAAATAATACAACAGGTATTTAAGAACTTGTAATAAACCAATGAGCATTTTGGTCAGATTCAGATAAGTGTAGGTACCTCTTGCAGTGTGTAGAATCATCATAGTATTAAATTTGAGCCAAAGTAGTCCAACTAACCCGAAAATTAACTAAAACTGCCGACATGCAAGAGCATAAATCTTACCAACAACTTTTTTCCCTTTAAGATGATCCTCCTCTGACAGAGAGAGTGCAATTGCACGGTCAATGTCTTCTTTCTCTATATCTGTTAAATCATCCTGCATTCGGTTTGCAATTATGACAAATTCATATTATCAGCTTAAGGCTATGAGGAACTAGAACAGAGTTAGGCCTTGTTAAAGTGAAAAAAACAAAAAAATACTAGCTCAATGACATGAAAAGTTATAACTTATGACAGTGATTTTAACTCTTAATGAAAGGAAAGCTTTGATTACCATTGAACTACGATGGGTATCCCAAATTCTGTCTTCTCCATATTTGCCTTGGTATTGTCCACGTGAAATATGATCAGAACCTTTAAGCAACTTTCTAAACCAACCCATTTCATGCAAAATTATTCACCTTCAGGTTTGCAAACCTTTTGTCAAAAAATATGTCAATCGAGTAGGCACAAAAATATATTCCACAATTTATATATAGAAGGAAGGTCTACAGACTATTAAGCTTCTTTTGAAAAAGTAAATGTTATGCCTTGATTCCAAACTTCAAAATTCAGTAGCATGATGTTGAAGCTTTTAACCAGCATTGGCTATAATATATAACGCAAAAAGTATGTTATGACACTAAGGTAAATAGCAATGACAGAAACAGCCAGACAACTAGAGATTGGGAAGACATATATATGTAGGAAATGTATCAAATTCGAGACCAGAGTTTGAGAAGAGAAAATCTCAATCTTGGATAGTTAAGATTAGATATAACCGAAACAACATTGATTTTTTCTTTCGTGTGTGTGGCTGCAGGAGTGAATCTTGACCATATAACTGAAATGGATAATTAAAATTTAGTTTGATCACTATAGTTACAAAAAATTTCCTTTCTAGTTCCTATAAGCATCTCCTTGTAATCCATATACATACCCTTTTTAATTCCAGGTGGTCTTATAGGGAGTAAAATAGATTAAAAGGATACAGATAGAGACTAAAAGGGATTAAAAATGTTAAGAGTAGAGACTAAAGAAGATGCTTTTATGTATAATTAAACCTTAAAATTAAAATTAAAACAATCTCCATCACCTATATGTCATTGTGTGACAATTTATTCGCCCCCTCGCACCTCTCGCTCCCATTAGATATGCCAATATTGTGTGTTTTGCAGGGAAAGTAAAAGTTAACGAGAACGACAGAAAGACTATCACACAACTGATATATATATATATATATATATATATATGGATTTATCAGAAGAAAAAAACTTGCAATATGTGGAAGTTCAAAAGAAAAAACTCTTAATGAAGAAAAGATAACAGCAAAAAAGATGAAAAGCAAATTTCAATATCTAATCTTTCGTGTAAAATCCCAACGATAAGATATGAATACAGCCTCATTTCCGCACACCAGCCAGCATCGTCAAATCTCAAACTAAGCAAACATGAAGATCTTCGAATTTCCAGTTACACGTACCTGTTTGCCGAAATCTCTTCACTTCCGCAATACCCAATAGAACGTTTGATGAATAATTCAAACCCAAGTCAAATTACTTCAGAAAAATAAAAAAACTGCACCACACCCACGATTAAAGACAGCGAAAGCAAGAAAGAAAAAGGAAAAATAGTGAGTTAGCAGAATGAAGTGAGAAGTGAACTGAGCATGAAGAGATTAAGAATCTTTGGTAATAACGGATTCTGATGAATCATAATTTAATAAGTAACGAAAAACAATCACAAAGGGATTAGAGTAAAGTAGTGTATATACCCTGGAACCAAAAGAAAGAAAGAAAAAAAAGGGGTACTTAGATTCTACGCAAAAAAGGATAAGAAAAAAGGTAAATAGGAACAGAGGAATCTTTTTAAGGTAATATTATAATTTTTAAAAGACGAGTTTGGTTTGAAGATGGAGAAAATCGGAGAAGAGAGGAGAGGCAGCTGAATTTCAATGTCTACTAAAGCATGTGGGTCCTCTTCCTTTGTCAGTTACCCAGTAAGTAAAGTTGCACCTTTTCTTGTTCAGTGAAAGAAGGAGAAGAATGAAGTGTAATATCGTAATTGAAAATGGATACAAAATAGAACCGTGTGATGAACTTTTTTTTTTTTTTGTTTCTTATACATAATAATGTAAGAGAAATGAAAAATAAAAAAACAATTTATCATGAATCATATAAACAATGATACAATTATTGATTTCATGTTTCCGCGTATCAATTTTGTTACGTGCTTCTGCTTTAATTTCACTTTTTCTTAAATTTTTTCATTCTCACAGTTACATTTCTTCCGTTTATTTCGTATAAAATTAATTATTTTGTATTTTTGTGACGATTATTTCTCACAGTCATCACATATTCAATACAAATTAAATATAACTTGGAGTGAAATCTGGTAAAATCAAAGTGTGTGTGGATTTTTCGAAAAATAAAACACATGTGATAACGATTTTTATTTTTTTTTAAATATTTTCATAAATGGATATTTAAAAATCATTGTGATTCTCGACGTAGATGTGGAAATAAGATTATGTTCATTATGTATGTTGGCTTTAGGTAAATTCTTATACATCTGTGAAGCGAATTGAATTAACATGGAATTATGTGTATATTTTTTATTTGTGAAATTGGATTAATATTAATATTATAATTTTAATTAGATATTAAATATAATAAGTTTTGGTCTAATTTGAGCAAAATAGATATGTTGATATTTGTATAATTTGTCTAGCAAATTATATTTTGCTCGACTAATTTCAACTAGAAAAAATATGATTTTTAAAATTAACACAATAGTCGACAATTGTTTAATAAATCTTAAAATTCACACAACAAATGATAATTCGTTTAATAAATCTTAAATTTTCATTGGTTGAGTTTCATCTTGCAAACAGCAACCTAAAAGCAATTTGTTATTTTTTATTTTTTTTGTTAAAATTTGTCCAATGAATTTTTCTGAATAAAAGGACATGTTAAAAGTGAATGAACGAAGAGCAATATGAATATTGAGTTGTGATGGTTAAGGAAAATAATAAAATTATGAAGTGCTAAGTCGTTATGAAAGTTAAATGATAAATGGTTTAGTGAAATTTTTATATTATATTCGATGATTTTTATATGGTATGCTTTATTGAGAATAAGACATATAAGATAAGGAATGTCATATAGGTAGTTTGGTGTTAAAATTACACATTCTTCCTCTCATATTAAAATATAGGGTTAAATATATTTTTAGTCCCTAAACTATTGACCGTTTCTGGTTTTCGTCCCTCTTCCAAAGTAAGGTACAATTTAGTCCTTAATCTTTAAAAAACGTTCGTTTTAGTCGAAAAAACGAACGTTTTGAGGACTAAAACGAGGACTAAAAACAAAATTTTGAGGACTAAAATGAACGTTTTTCTAAAGAATGAGGACCAAATTGTACCTTACTTTGGAAGAGGGACGAAAACCAAAAACGGCCAATAGTTTAGGGACTAAAAACATATTTAACCCTAAAATATATGCTTATTTCGTTTAGTTAGAAAACAATAATAAAAGTTACTTAAAATATTTCTAAATGTGCTTTTAATTGGAATATTAAAATATACAATTTTATTTTTCTATAATAATTAAATTTCATTTAATAATAAAGTTTTGATATATAGATTCATTTAACAGTATGAATGATTTTTTTTTTCAATATTTGTATTTGATGAACTTTTTCAATTTATAAAAGGACAAAAATGTCTTTAACAGACCGTTAAAAGTTTATCCACTTCTCCAATGCATACCAAATTCTAGAAAAAAAATACCTACTAACTACTTGTAGGTAAATAATTATAATAATATTTTATATAAATAATATTAAGTGATTAATTTATATATTTATTAAAATTGTTTTAGAAATACACGAAAATAATAAATATATATGAAGAAGAGTGTTGCTTCCTATACCCAAAAGAATTTTAATTATAAAACTATCAACTTTACTTTAACCTTTTTACTTTTTTATTTTTTAATGAAAATCCTAAGTCTCTACCTCTCATTTTCATTCTCACAACCCTCACTCCACTCTCATTTTCTCTCTTTCTTTCCACATTTGTTTTTCCCAACTCATTCTTCATATCTGTTTCCACTTCTTTAGTTTTTTCTTATTCATTTTGGTCCCTTGGCTGCGTGTTTGTGGTGCGGTGGTCGTGGTGTTTTGGTGGTGCTTCATTTGTGGTGCGTTTACTGTGTAGTTTCGTCTACAAGAGGTTGGTTCAAATTAAATTTGATAGTATTATTTCATTTGAATGCATTCAAATATATTATGTATGTTGCATGTTTGATCTTGTTTGGTTTCTGATGGTTGCGTTTTTTGTGTCTTCAAATGAAGAAGATATCCACGTTCGTTCAAGGCCAAACGGATATATCACATCGGTTGAGGCCTGAGTGCTTTTTTTAGTTTTTATTTTATTAATTTATTGTATTTTAAAAATTATATATATATATATATATATATATAGTATTTAAATTTAGTGCTTTTTTTTAATTTGTTATGTAATTATAACTAAAATGATTTTCTTTTTAATTTGTTCAGAGGAATTTCATTCCAGTGAATAAGTGGACTGTTGTGAAGATGCATTGATATAGTTGTGGAGACCATTAACGAAGTGGTTCGTTGTTGGGTAAAAGAAAATATTACTAAAAGATAAAAAGATAATGAGAAGATGCATAGAGCAGTGTGTGGTGATGGAAGGAGTAACTCTCATTAAAGAAAGGGTGTTGCTCCCTCCACCACCACCCTATACTTCTTCCACCTCTCCACATTATTTTAAATACAATTATATCCTTAAGTTAAAAAGATTTTTACTTTTACCCTATTTTAAATAATTTGAAACCTCAATTTTACTTTCTCAGCATCCACCTATGAAACTATCTTCCCCTTTCCCCATTTTCCTTTCACCTCTCCATCTCTCGCACTTCCATTATTTTTTCTTCCCAGTTTTTTTTTTGGTTTGAAAGCTTCCATTGCCGCCGTGGTGTGAAGGAGCGCCGACGCTGTGGTGTGGAGGAACATCAAGGAGCATCCAGAGCATCAACCAGCGTGAGGAAGTATACATCAACAGAGGTGACATCCTTCAACGAATGTCCCCTAATAAAACAAACTCTAAAATAAAAAACGTAACCTTTAAACGGAGGTGACATCTTCAACGGATGTCAACATCCGTTTAAGGTAAAACGGATGTCGACATCCGTTTCTCCTTAAACGGATGTTGACATTCGTTGAAGGATGTTGACATCCGTTGAAGGATGTCACCTCCGTTTACGGTTTTTATTTTAGGGTTTTATTTCAAGGTTTATTCGAGGAAGCACGACACGCACTGCACCACTCCATGCACTGCACCACGAGAGCGACACTGCACCACGAAAGGGAGACTGCTTGATAATTCTTTCCACCACCACCAACCTTTCCAACTCTTAGTATCTCACAAGGACGAAAGAAAGAGAGGAAAAAATATAATGTTAAAATAAAATAAAAGCATTTTACTCATGTACGGGACTAGAATAGGTTATTAGTGAAATAAGTTGTGAATGGATAAAATTAAAAAATAATAATCCTAAAAATAAAATTTTACTAAGGGGCAAAATAGTAAAGAGAAGGTGGAGGAAGAAAGGTGTGATGGTGGAGGGAGCAACACCTTAGAGAAATAAGGACTGGTCTGCAAGTGGACCAGGTACAAGAGCCCAAAAATCTAACGTTGAACCCAAACCAAATTAAAAAAAGGAAAACACATATTATCTAAAAGTGAATTTCTTATTATTAATTTTAAAGGGAAATTAAGCTAAAATCGAATGGTATATACAAGTAGATATTTTACCTTGTTTTTTTTATCCACTCTGTAGAGGCTACATCCTATCTCTTATGTTTTTGGTTAAAAAATAAAAAGTGAACGAAAAGAAAGATGAATAAAGTGTAAACAGTGATTTTTGGGTTTTGCTTTCATCACCACACCTTTCTCCCTCCACCTTTTCTTTACTAGTTTGTCCCTCAATAAAATGAATGAAAGTGCGGGAGGTGGAAAGGTGGGAAGGTGAAACGAAAATGGGGAAAAGGAAAGAGAGTTCCGTGAATGGGTGCTGGAAAAGTAAAATTAGGGTTTCAAATTATTTAAAATAGGGTAAAAGTAACTTAAGGATATAATTGTATTTAAAATAATGTGGGAAGATGAAAAAGTATAGGGTGGTGGTGGAGGAGGAACACCCATGATTTTTTTGAATTAAATAAAATAGTTTGTGTATTTGATATAATATGATAAAAAAATTGATAATTTAAATAATTATTAGAGAATAATTATATTTTATTTTGTGCATCAATCAATCAATCACATAATTAAATTTTATTATTATTTTCATATTTAATTAGGATGTAATTTTTATTTTATTCTGATTCAATTGAAGAATATATATATATATATTTACACTTGTGTATGAACTGTCTTCAATGTTCCAAATATTCATTAAATATCTTTCTATAAAAACAAAATCAATAACATATACGAAAATGTTGGCATCTCAATAACATTATTTTAGGATCTCCCTTTATGTATTCATTGTACAAGAATATATTTTTTAATTTTAAATATAAAAATTATAATTATATAAATATTAAATATTTAATAAATAAATGTCAAATATTTATATAAAACATTAAAAAAATTGTTCATATCCAAACTAATATTTAATAATTATAAAACCATCATATAAACACATAAGGTTTAAACAATTTAGACATGTTCACTTGTCATCGTTGCTAAGTACTAATTAATGGATACCTCTACAATTAACCCTTAATACGTGTCATGGTGTGTGTTCTGTTATTATCTAATAATTTATGATAATTTTTTATTGTTATTTAACTTAATTTTCTTTTTTGATCAAAAAATTATTTAAAATATTTTAAAACTTCAAAGAAAGTCCAATTAAAAGAATGTAATAAAAGAAATACATATTTACAGTCAACATAAGTCTTATTTTAATTATATTACAAAATCTATAACATTCCAATTTAG